TATTCGTCGTTGGTAATTTAGGATTCTTTGCATGGCTGAACGAAGCTCCCTAGGAAGTCTTGGATCTGATAAACGTCCTCTCATACGAAGTTAAATTAGAGTTTGCCTCAGGGGAACAATAAAATTTCGTCGCCTAATGGAACTTTCAGTCCCAGACTGAAAAAAAAAGGAATTTACAGAAGCTGGTTGGATACCAAATAGCACAAGGCCATCTTCTCGTTCTCTAACCAGTATTGTAATTTACACACTTCCGATCTAATGCATTACCCCCCGCCTTCATAGTGTTATAAAAATAATATAGGATCTTATCAGGTTTCTTTGATTCCTCTACTATTTTGTTATCATGCTGCATAGATTGCTATACGAGAACATGTGTATTTGGTTTTGGAAGATACTACTCTAAGGCTGTACAACATAAACTTAGAAGTACCTGGCTGTGTTTCCTTCTTATTTGGAACTACATGTTGGGGTACTTGTTACTTATTTTTACGCTTCCTGCCGACATAGGTCAGTTGGTTGATGCGCAATTCTACATGTAATTCTACTGACGTGAACCAGTCATCTGCTGTGATATTTCTGTTCGTATAGACGAAAGCATTGAGCAGGTAGTGGTGAGTCTTTGCATCATCAGTCCATACTTATTCGGTTTAGTTTTCTTGTAGGCACAGGAAGGACATCGGCCCACGAGCATCTCGTATTTTGTAGGGGACTCACCCGAAATATAACAATTTCGACAGTTCTCTATGAGTGTCTCGAAAATTTCACGTATTTGGAGAAATTTATCGGCATTTCTCGAGTCACAGGGTTATTATTTTCCAAATTGGTTGCCACGGACTTTAGTTCAGGTAAATGCGTAATAATCGACCAGTTGCAGGCGCTCGTTTTGACCAATTGTACATGTTTTTTCCATAGGCATAGCGAGGTCGCCCATAGGAAGTTGTTCAGGTTGATCGATAGCAGCGTCGTCCTCGGCGTAGTCTATAGTGTATTGTTCATCCGTCAACAACGAAAAAATCCATTGTGAAGGAAGTTCAAATCGTACACGCAACTGACATCCTCGGATCAAATTTGACCGCAAAGTCAACAAACCAACAATTGTGATGTTTAAATTAAACTGTGGTTTGAGGTATACGTGCTCATACCGTATGAGAAGTCACGGGACCCCCACCACATAACTGAGAAAGCTCGAATCATCCGACGATATCATTAAAGGATTAATTTCTATATTCTTGAACGAATCTATAAAATCAAAGTGGCTGGGTTTCAATTTACATAGCTCTTTGTATGGTCTTGTTTGCTGATCAACATTATATGATTTCTAGACATGTTCAATCTGTGCAGCTTCTTCACTTTCATATTAATGTCAATAAGAGCATTTCATCCATTTTTGAATAAATGTGGTTCATCACAAATTGTAGAAATACTCTGAGCATTGACTATAAAATGGAATGGACTTGATCCGTGAGTATTCTCCGAGCAAATCGTCTCAAGTGCGTTTTTGATCGTTGCGCCCTGATTAGAAATAGTGCCAACAACGCACAAACCAAGTCGCTGCTAGTTTGTGATCACATGAACAATAATCGTTTTCAGATCTGGGATTCTTGTATCTTTTACTAGATAATAAGCCACAACCTGCTTATAATTTTTACGAATCCCTCTTATCATGGAAGTAAGGGCATGATTTCTGATAAATCACTTTTTCAGAGTTCTAGTTGATTTTGTTACCTCAGAATTCAAGATTTATTAGCTGAAAATTGTACACTGTGAGCACTGGGATCAGCCCTAAACTTTGTCCAAACCCTGCAATAATCGTAAACACTAAACAAGGGTAGACATATTTCTAGTTTAACTGCCTGAAGATTTTCTCTATGGTTTATACGTAACTCTCCACCTATTATCTCATTTTTGTACATGTTCTGGGAGAACTCAACTTGCTCCCTATAAAATGCAACGTCTTCCTGCACAGGTGGTTCTGGTTAAGTGCCAGCCTGCTTCGGGTTTGTAATTAGTTGTTGCAATTTTCTGATTTCGTCGTCCTTTTTCATAATCCAGATTTCGTTTTGGCATTCCAGTTCAGCCATTTGATCCTGAAGCTCTTTTATAGTAGAATCATTATGGCATCGTATATCTGAGATTTTAAATGAGTGGTTGACCTCACGTTGGTTACTCTCGTCCATCAGACTCTTTACGTCATTTCTCAGTTTAGATTCAAGTTCTTTTAGGAAGCCAATTTCATCTTGCAGTTCAGCAATGTGTGACATCGTTACATCAGTTTGTGCAGCAGCACTTAAAGAATGTTGCATATCTTCGTACTCAGCGTCAAGCATAGCTTCTAAGTCTGCAACCTTCTTTTTTGACTCAATATTTTGAGCTTCAAGAGATGGTTTAGGGCTCTCTGATCTTCCTAGGTTCTTCAGTTGAGTACGCAGCATCTCTATTTCTGACTCGTATGTTTTTAGTCTTTTTATTATTTTTTTCCAGAAAATCGAGTCTGTATTGCAAGTCGATGAAATTCTTGCGCTTTTTGAGAATTTTTTTGAACTCTTTCTATTTCTTCGTTGTACGCATCCGTTACTTGGCGGAGTTCCTGACTGTAACGATCGAATTTAGAATTGGCTTCTGTGAGCTGTTTCTTCAGGTCCAAAATCTCCAGCTGATTATCTAGTTTAGTGAATTCTCTAAGCTCATTGAAAGATTCTTCCAGTTCTTTGAGTTGTCTTTTAAGTACACTTGCACGTCTTCAGCTATCACAGATTCTGCTTCGGCTAGTGCCTCCTCATATGTCTCTTCTTGAATAGGCCTCATTTCACGTCCGGATGATTCTTCTTTGGGTGGATAATTTTTCAATGGCATATACCCTAGGGATGCTTTTTTAGGTGATACGTTGCCATAGTGTCCAAAAGTATGACGTCTTAATGTTTTTTTCGGTGTTGATGCCGAGGCTCCCATTTGAAAGCGCCCGACAATAGATACTTCCGTTTTTAGTCTTTCTATCTCGAGCAGATACTCTTGTTTGCTTTTATCCATCTCTTTTAGCTTAATTGCCTGCTTTTTGAGCCGAGTTTCGAGATCGCGAGTCAAGTTCTGATATCCTTGAAGTGTCTCTTCTGTAGCTGACAAGATGTTTACTTTCGTTTTATTTTTGACAGTTTTAGTGCTTTGGGCGAATTCTGGTGTAGATCTAGTCTCCTCCTCTGCAGCTAAAGTAACATTCCCGATAATCAATGATTTGGCATTACCGCCAAGAGCCTGTGAGAGCAGTCTAGTCAATTTCGAATCGCGATAACTGATAAACTCCTTCCCCTCGCTTAGTTGCCTTATCACATTTCCTAATACTGACAAAGATTTGTTTATGTTAGCCCCCTCTTTAAGACGCTCACCAGCAGCTTTCGTCAGAGAAACTCTCTCAGAACCAGCTAAGTCCATTAAGTTAAGGTAGCTTATATGTACAGGTCCATCTTTCTGATTGGCATCTTTCGACTCCAGAATAATCCGGAAAATCGTGTGTGATCGAGATGACCTCTCATTCATGCGAGTAGCTGCAACTCGTCTGATCTTATTGCCCTGCATCATGTTCTCCATAACTTTATCAACATTGTCTACGACAGCTTCCCTTGCATCAAGCAGCACATTTCCTTTGATATCTTCTCATAGTTAAACCCTGATTGCTCTTATCCAGGAGGTCATTGATCTTTTCATTGTAGATTTCAATATAACTGCATCTAATCAAGTACCTCTTATCAACCTGGTCTGCCACATGCTGGAATAACTGATTGGATACTAATTGGAAAAGCCCAGGATCTGTTTTATTGCCCAAAATGGTGTGTGTTTTGCCAGAAGATGTTTGGCCATATGCAAATATTGTGGCATTGAAACCTTCCATGAAGGAATCGACTAAAGGTTTTACTACAGATCCATATACATCTGAATTTGTACATTCCTGATTAAATACATGGTCGAATATATAAACCTCTCCATGGCGACTACTTTCATCGGCTTCCCATATGCAGTTTACTCTTACGTTCCAAAGACGCTCTAGACCATCGGCTACTTCGCGGTGGATCATTGGTCTGATCTTTGTGGCTACTTTAATATTGTTGGAAGTCATTTTGGAAGCTTGAACTGAAATTTAATTAGAACTAGGGCTATTTCACGGGTTATAAAGAGGGGCAGATGTATCAGGTTGATACATTCTTTTTTTCCTCCTTTCCAGTATAGAAGATTTTTTTCTCTTGTAGGCTATGAATGCGGTCCGATAGTTTAGTAGAGCTACATTTACAGGGTGACTCAAAATCAAAGAAGAAACAGAATTGTTAAATTTCATATAGACTGTTATTGTTATTACAAAAAGAAGTTGAAGCAGCAGCAAATTCTCACAAATCTATAGATCCATCACTTTCAGCACCCGATTTTTCAACTTGAAAAATGCAGCTCGGTGAAGAATCACAAGGTAACTGTTGTCTATTCAGACAATACTCTTCTAAAAGCAACGCGAAGTTACCTAGTGCCTTACATGAATCGCCTTCATAATTCTTCATTATTGTCAATGGAAAACTGAAATTGTTGATTATTACAGTTTTTAATGCTTCAAATAAACAGATGGTGTTCGTGTTGGAAATCCCACGTCTAATCTCGCAAAACAGGTTATCCACCGGATCTTACTATCAACATCTGAAATGCCATTACTGTTTTTAGCCATGTGTACAACAGGTTTGTACGCATAAGACACTCTTACATGAAAACTGTTTATTGTCTAAAAACGAAAATACCCCATTGAAGATGAGTAATGCAATAAATATAATCCTCGAAACTTGAACTGTAATATGAACATAAAAAAACTAACAAAATGGGCCATTTAACAACATATTTGGTGTTGATATTCTACAACAAAAACAAATACTTTCTCGTATAAGGAAACATACAATAATTAACATTTATCACTTTTCACGAAACAATGTAAGTGCGCTGTGACTTTACATACTTATTACAGATTGTAGAACATTTTTTTCATTGTGTATTGTCATGTAACACCTACGTCGTTTTTTTTCTTTAACAACTGCATCAGGATCGAGAACTCTGGGCTGAGAAGTAGACGGCTTACTTTATTCGTCGTTGGTAATTTAGGATTCTTTGCATGGCTGAACGAAGCTCCCTAGGAAGTCTTGGATCTGATAAACGTCCTCTCATACGAAGTTAAATTAGAGTTTGCCTCAGGGGAACAATAAAATTTCGTCGCCTAATGGAACTTTCAGTCCCAGACTGAAAAAAAAAGGAATTTACAGAAGCTGGTTGGATACCAAATAGCACAAGGCCATCTTCTCGTTCTCTAACCAGTATTGTAATTTACACACTTCCGATCTAATGCATTACCCCCCGCCTTCATAGTGTTATAAAAATAATATATCTTATCAGGTTTCTTTGATTCCTCTACTATTTTGTTATCATGCTGCATAGATTGCTATACGAGAACATGTGTATTTGGTTTTGGAAGATACTACTCTAAGGCTGTACAACATAAACTTAGAAGTACCTGGCTGTGTTTCCTTCTTATTTGGAACTACATGTTGGGGTACTTGTTACTTATTTTTACGCTTCCTGCCGACATAGGTCAGTTGGTTGATGCGCAATTCTACATGTAATTCTACTGACGTGAACCAGTCATCTGCTGTGATATTTCTGTTCGTATAGACGAAAGCATTGAGCAGGTAGTGGTGAGTCTTTGCATCATCAGTCCATACTTATTCGGTTTAGTTTTCTTGTAGGCACAGGAAGGACATCGGCCCACGAGCATCTCGTATTTTGTAGGGGACTCACCCGAAATATAACAATTTCGACAGTTCTCTATGAGTGTCTCGAAAATTTCACGTATTTGGAGAAATTTATCGGCATTTCTCGAGTCACAGGGTTATTATTTTCCAAATTGGTTGCCACGGACTTTAGTTCAGGTAAATGCGTAATAATCGACCAGTTGCAGGCGCTCGTTTTGACCAATTGTACATGTTTTTTCCATAGGCATAGCGAGGTCGCCCATAGGAAGTTGTTCAGGTTGATCGATAGCAGCGTCGTCCTCGGCGTAGTCTATAGTGTATTGTTCATCCGTCAACAACGAAAAAATCCATTGTGAAGGAAGTTCAAATCGTACACGCAACTGACATCCTCGGATCAAATTTGACCGCAAAGTCAACAAACCAACAATTGTGATGTTTAAATTAAACTGTGGTTTGAGGTATACGTGCTCATACCGTATGAGAAGTCACGGGACCCCCACCACATAACTGAGAAAGCTCGAATCATCCGACGATATCATTAAAGGATTAATTTCTATATTCTTGAACGAATCTATAAAATCAAAGTGGCTGGGTTTCAATTTACATAGCTCTTTGTATGGTCTTGTTTGCTGATCAACATTATATGATTTCTAGACATGTTCAATCTGTGCAGCTTCTTCACTTTCATATTAATGTCAATAAGAGCATTTCATCCATTTTTGAATAAATGTGGTTCATCACAAATTGTAGAAATACTCTGAGCATTGACTATAAAATGGAATGGACTTGATCCGTGAGTATTCTCCGAGCAAATCGTCTCAAGTGCGTTTTTGATCGTTGCGCCCTGATTAGAAATAGTGCCAACAACGCACAAACCAAGTCGCTGCTAGTTTGTGATCACATGAACAATAATCGTTTTCAGATCTGGGATTCTTGTATCTTTTACTAGATAATAAGCCACAACCTGCTTATAATTTTTACGAATCCCTCTTATCATGGAAGTAAGGGCATGATTTCTGATAAATCACTTTTTCAGAGTTCTAGTTGATTTTGTTACCTCAGAATTCAAGATTTATTAGCTGAAAATTGTACACTGTGAGCACTGGGATCAGCCCTAAACTTTGTCCAAACCCTGCAATAATCGTAAACACTAAACAAGGGTAGACATATTTCTAGTTTAACTGCCTGAAGATTTTCTCTATGGTTTATACGTAACTCTCCACCTATTATCTCATTTTTGTACATGTTCTGGGAGAACTCAACTTGCTCCCTATAAAATGCAACGTCTTCCTGCACAGGTGGTTCTGGTTAAGTGCCAGCCTGCTTCGGGTTTGTAATTAGTTGTTGCAATTTTCTGATTTCGTCGTCCTTTTTCATAATCCAGATTTCGTTTTGGCATTCCAGTTCAGCCATTTGATCCTGAAGCTCTTTTATAGTAGAATCATTATGGCATCGTATATCTGAGATTTTAAATGAGTGGTTGACCTCACGTTGGTTACTCTCGTCCATCAGACTCTTTACGTCATTTCTCAGTTTAGATTCAAGTTCTTTTAGGAAGCCAATTTCATCTTGCAGTTCAGCAATGTGTGACATCGTTACATCAGTTTGTGCAGCAGCACTTAAAGAATGTTGCATATCTTCGTACTCAGCGTCAAGCATAGCTTCTAAGTCTGCAACCTTCTTTTTTGACTCAATATTTTGAGCTTCAAGAGATGGTTTAGGGCTCTCTGATCTTCCTAGGTTCTTCAGTTGAGTACGCAGCATCTCTATTTCTGACTCGTATGTTTTTAGTCTTTTTATTATTTTTTTCCAGAAAATCGAGTCTGTATTGCAAGTCGATGAAATTCTTGCGCTTTTTGAGAATTTTTTTGAACTCTTTCTATTTCTTCGTTGTACGCATCCGTTACTTGGCGGAGTTCCTGACTGTAACGATCGAATTTAGAATTGGCTTCTGTGAGCTGTTTCTTCAGGTCCAAAATCTCCAGCTGATTATCTAGTTTAGTGAATTCTCTAAGCTCATTGAAAGATTCTTCCAGTTCTTTGAGTTGTCTTTTAAGTACACTTGCACGTCTTCAGCTATCACAGATTCTGCTTCGGCTAGTGCCTCCTCATGTCTCTTCTTGAATAGGCCTCATTTCACGTCCGGATGATTCTTCTTTGGGTGGATAATTTTTCAATGGCATATACCCTAGGGATGCTTTTTTAGGTGATACGTTGCCATAGTGTCCAAAAGTATGACGTCTTAATGTTTTTTTCGGTGTTGATGCCGAGGCTCCCATTTGAAAGCGCCCGACAATAGATACTTCCGTTTTTAGTCTTTCTATCTCGAGCAGATACTCTTGTTTGCTTTTATCCATCTCTTTTAGCTTAATTGCCTGCTTTTTGAGCCGAGTTTCGAGATCGCGAGTCAAGTTCTGATATCCTTGAAGTGTCTCTTCTGTAGCTGACAAGATGTTTACTTTCGTTTTATTTTTGACAGTTTTAGTGCTTTGGGCGAATTCTGGTGTAGATCTAGTCTCCTCCTCTGCAGCTAAAGTAACATTCCCGATAATCAATGATTTGGCATTACCGCCAAGAGCCTGTGAGAGCAGTCTAGTCAATTTCGAATCGCGATAACTGATAAACTCCTTCCCCTCGCTTAGTTGCCTTATCACATTTCCTAATACTGACAAAGATTTGTTTATGTTAGCCCCCTCTTTAAGACGCTCACCAGCAGCTTTCGTCAGAGAAACTCTCTCAGAACCAGCTAAGTCCATTAAGTTAAGGTAGCTTATATGTACAGGTCCATCTTTCTGATTGGCATCTTTCGACTCCAGAATAATCCGGAAAATCGTGTGTGATCGAGATGACCTCTCATTCATGCGAGTAGCTGCAACTCGTCTGATCTTATTGCCCTGCATCATGTTCTCCATAACTTTATCAACATTGTCTACGACAGCTTCCCTTGCATCAAGCAGCACATTTCCTTTGATATCTTCTCTTATAGTTAAACCCTGATTGCTCTTATCCAGGAGGTCATTGATCTTTTCATTGTAGATTTCAATATAACTGCATCTAATCAAGTACCTCTTATCAACCTGGTCTGCCACATGCTGGAATAACTGATTGGATACTAATTGGAAAAGCCCAGGATCTGTTTTATTGCCCAAAATGGTGTGTGTTTTGCCAGAAGATGTTTGGCCATATGCAAATATTGTGGCATTGAAACCTTCCATGAAGGAATCGACTAAAGGTTTTACTACAGATCCATATACATCTGAATTTGTACATTCCTGCTTAAATACATGGTCGAATATATAAACCTCTCCATGGCGACTACTTTCATCGGCTTCCCATATGCAGTTTACTCTTACGTTCCAAAGACGCTCTAGACCATCGGCTACTTCGCGGTGGATCATTGGTCTGATCTTTGTGGCTACTTTAATATTGTCGGAAGTCATTTTGGAAGCTTGAACTGAAATTTAATTAGAACTAGGGCTATTTCACGGGTTATAAAGAGGGGCACTTTTCATAATCCAGATTTCGTTTTGGCATTCCAGTTCAGCCATTTGATCCTGAAGCTCTTTTATAGTAGAATCATTATGGCATCGTATATCTGAGATTTTAAATGAGTGGTTGACCTCACGTTGGTTACTCTCGTCCATCAGACTCTTTACGTCATTTCTCAGTTTAGATTCAAGTTCTTTTAGGAAGCCAATTTCATCTTGCAGTTCAGCAATGTGTGACATCGTTACATCAGTTTGTGTAGCAGCACTTAAAGAATCTTGCATATCTTCGTACTCAGCGTCAAGCATAGCTTCTAAGTCTGCAACCTTCTTTTTTGACTCAATATTTTGAGCTTCAAGAGATGGTTTAGGGCTCTCTGATCTTCCTAGGTTCTTCAGTTGAGTACGCAGCATCTCTATTTCTGACTCGTATGTTTTTAGTCTTTTTATTATTTTTTTCCAGAAAATCGAGTCTGTATTGCAAGTCGATGAAATTCTTGCGCTTTTTGAGAATTTTTTTGAACTCTTTCTATTTCTTCGTTGTACGCATCCGTTACTTGGCGGAGTTCCTGACTGTAACGATCGATTTTAGAATTGGCTTCTGTGAGCTGTTTCTTCAGGTCCAAAATCTCCAGCTGATTATCTAGTTTAGTGAATTCTCTAAGCTCATTGAAAGATTCTTCCAGTTCTTTGCGTTGTCTTTTAAGTACACTTGCACGTCTTCAGCTATCACAGATTCTGCTTCGGCTAGTGCCTCCTCATATGTCTCTTCTTGAATAGGCCTCATTTCACGTCCGGATGATTCTTCTTTGGGTGGATAATTTTTCAATGGCATATACCCTAGGGATGCTTTTTTAGGTGATACGTTGCCATAGTGTCCAAAAGTATGACGTCTTAATGTTTTTTTCGGTGTTGATGCCGAGGCTCCCATTTGAAAGCGCCCGACAATAGATACTTCCGTTTTTAGTCTTTCTATCTCGAGCAGATACTCTTGTTTGCTTTTCCATCTCTTTTAGCTTAATTGCCTGCTTTTTGAGCCGAGTTTCGAGATCGCGAGTCAAGTTCTGATATCCTTGAAGTGTCTCTTCTGTAGCTGACAAGATGTTTACTTTCGTTTTATTTTTGACAGTTTTAGTGCTTTGGGCGAATTCTGGTGTAGATCTAGTCTCCTCCTCTGCAGCTAAAGTAACATTCCCGATAATCAATGATTTGGCATTACCGCCAAGAGCCTGTGAGAGCAGTCTAGTCAATTTCGAATCGCGATAACTGATAAACTCCTTCCCCTCGCTTAGTTGCCTTATCACATTTCCTAATACTGACAAAGATTTGTTTATGTTAGCCCCCTCTTTAAGACGCTCACCAGCAGCTTTCGTCAGAGAAACTCTCTCAGAACCAGCTAAGTCCATTAAGTTAAGGTAGCTTATATGTACAGGTCCATCTTTCTGATTGGCATCTTTCGACTCCAGAATAATCCGGAAAATCGTGTGTGATCGAGATGACCTCTCATTCATGCGAGTAGCTGCAACTCGTCTGATCTTATTGCCCTGCATCATGTTCTCCATAACTTTATCAACATTGTCTACGACAGCTTCCCTTGCATCAAGCAGCACATTTCCTTTGATATCTTCTCATAGTTAAACCCTGATTGCTCTTATCCAGGAGGTCATTGATCTTTTCATTGTAGATTTCAATATAACTGCATCTAATCAAGTACCTCTTATCAACCTGGTCTGCCACATGCTGGAATAACTGATTGGATACTAATTGGAAAAGCCCAGGATCTGTTTTATTGCCCAAAATGGTGTGTGTTTTGCCAGAAGATGTTTGGCCATATGCAAATATTGTGGCATTGAAACCTTCCATGAAGGAATCGACTAAAGGTTTTACTACAGATCCATATACATCTGAATTTGTACATTCCTGATTAAATACATGGTCGAATATATAAACCTCTCCATGGCGACTACTTTCATCGGCTTCCCATATGCAGTTTACTCTTACGTTCCAAAGACGCTCTAGACCATCGGCTACTTCGCGGTGGATCATTGGTCTGATCTTTGTGGCTACTTTAATATTGTTGGAAGTCATTTTGGAAGCTTGAACTGAAATTTAATTAGAACTAGGGCTATTTCACGGGTTATAAAGAGGGGCAGATGTATCAGGTTGATACATTCTTTTTTTCCTCCTTTCCAGTATAGAAGATTTTTTTCTCTTGTAGGCTATGAATGCGGTCCGATAGTTTAGTAGAGCTACATTTACAGGGTGACTCAAAATCAAAGAAGAAACAGAATTGTTAAATTTCATATAGACTGTTATTGTTATTACAAAAAGAAGTTGAAGCAGCAGCAAATTCTCACAAATCTATAGATCCATCACTTTCAGCACCCGATTTTTCAACTTGAAAAATGCAGCTCGGTGAAGAATCACAAGGTAACTGTTGTCTATTCAGACAATACTCTTCTAAAAGCAACGCGAAGTTACCTAGTGCCTTACATGAATCGCCTTCATAATTCTTCATTATTGTCAATGGAAAACTGAAATTGTTGATTATTACAGTTTTTAATGCTTCAAATAAACAGATGGTGTTCGTGTTGGAAATCCCACGTCTAATCTCGCAAAACAGGTTATCCACCGGATCTTACTATCAACATCTGAAATGCCATTACTGTTTTTAGCCATGTGTACAACAGGTTTGTACGCATAAGACACTCTTACATGAAAACTGTTTATTGTCTAAAAACGAAAATACCCCATTGAAGATGAGTAATGCAATAAATATAATCCTCGAAACTTGAACTGTAATATGAACATAAAAAAACTAACAAAATGGGCCATTTAACAACATATTTGGTGTTGATATTCTACAACAAAAACAAATACTTTCTCGTATAAGGAAACATACAATAATTAACATTTATCACTTTTCACGAAACAATGTAAGTGCGCTGTGACTTTACATACTTATTACAGATTGTAGAACATTTTTTTCATTGTGTATTGTCATGTAACACCTACGTCGTTTTTTTTCTTTAACAACTGCATCAGGATCGAGAACTCTGGGCTGAGAAGTAGACGGCTTACTTTATTCGTCGTTGGTAATTTAGGATTCTTTGCATGGCTGAACGAAGCTCCCTAGGAAGTCTTGGATCTGATAAACGTCCTCTCATACGAAGTTAAATTAGAGTTTGCCTCAGGGGAACAATAAAATTTCGTCGCCTAATGGAACTTTCAGTCCCAGACTGAAAAAAAAGGAATTTACAGAAGCTGGTTGGATACCAAATAGCACAAGGCCATCTTCTCGTTCTCTAACCAGTATTGTAATTTACACACTTCCGATCTAATGCATTACCCCCCGCCTTCATAGTGTTATAAAAATAATATAGGATCTTATCAGGTTTCTTTGATTCCTCTACTATTTTGTTATCATGCTGCATAGATTGCTATACGAGAACATGTGTATTTGGTTTTGGAAGATACTACTCTAAGGCTGTACAACATAAACTTAGAAGTACCTGGCTGTGTTTCCTTCTTATTTGGAACTACATGTTGGGGTACTTGTTACTTATTTTTACGCTTCCTGCCGACATAGGTCAGTTGGTTGATGCGCAATTCTACATGTAATTCTACTGACGTGAACCAGTCATCTGCTGTGATATTTCTGTTCGTATAGACGAAAGCATTGAGCAGGTAGTGGTGAGTCTTTGCATCATCAGTCCATACTTATTCGGTTTAGTTTTCTTGTAGGCACAGGAAGGACATCGGCCCACGAGCATCTCGTATTTTGTAGGGGACTCACCCGAAATATAACAATTTCGACAGTTCTCTATGAGTGTCTCGAAAATTTCACGTATTTGGAGAAATTTATCGGCATTTCTCGAGTCACAGGGTTATTATTTTCCAAATTGGTTGCCACGGACTTTAGTTCAGGTAAATGCGTAATAATCGACCAGTTGCAGGCGCTCGTTTTGACCAATTGTACATGTTTTTTCCATAGGCATAGCGAGGTCGCCCATAGGAAGTTGTTCAGGTTGATCGATAGCAGCGTCGTCCTCGGCAAAGTAACAAACCAACAATGTGATGTTTAAAGTAAACCCTGTGGTTTGAGGTATACGTGCTCATACCGTATGAGAAGTCACGGGACCCCCACACATAACTGAGAAAGCTCGAATCATCCGACGATATCATTAAAGGATTAATTTCTATATTCTTGAACGAATCTATAAATCAAGTGCTGGGTTTCAATTTACGTAGCTCTTTGTATGGTCTTGTTTGCTGATCAACATTATATGATTTCTAGACATGTTCAATCTGTGCAGCTTCTTCACTTTCATATTAATGTCAATAAGAGCATTTCATCCATTTTTGAATAAATGTGGTTCATCACAAATTGTAGAAATACTTGAGCATGACTATAAATGGAATGGACTTGATCCGTGAGTATTCTCCGAGCAAATCGTCTCAGTTGCGTTTTTGATCGTTGCGCCCTGATTAGAAATAGTGCCAACAACGCACAAACCAAGTCGCTGCTAGTTTGTGATCACATGAACAATAATCGTTTTCAGATCTGGATTCTTGTATCTTTTACTAGATAATAAGCCACAACCTGCTTATAATTTTTACGAATCCCTCTTATCATGGAAGTAAGGGCATGATTTCTGATAAATCACTTTTTCAGAGTTCTAGTTGATTTGTTACCTGAATTCAAGATTTATTAGCTGAAAATTGTACACTGTGAGCACTGGGATCAGCCCTAAACTTTGTCCAAACCCTGCAATAATCGTAAACACTAAACAAGGGTAGAATTTCTAGTTTAACTGCCTGAAGATTTTCTCTATGGTTTATACGTAACTCTCCACCTATTATCTCATTTTTGTACATGTTCTGGGAGAACTCAA